TCGTAAAAGCGCCATAGATACCGACACGATTGGATTTAGCTGGTATATTACTATTTACTGAATCAAACTATTTAACTAGAGTGTTCTTAGATAATACTTGTCTCTTTTTACCTATACAGAGTCCAAGAAACCTGTAAGCCACAGCGTTCGGCACTTCCAGAGGAGGTCACGGGTGCGGCCACCAAGGATTAGGAGAGTCCCAAGTTGCATAGCTATCGATCCCAAATATTAACATCCTTGCAATGAGGACCTTGAATCGCTGGGCGTATACACTGGCCCTTCAAAATATAGCAGAGATGTTGGCCAAAAGGGAAAAGTCACTGACCAGCTTTACTGGTGAGTGGCCGACATCGTCCGGTTGAGAGCTGGTTCGCGGCACTGTCATTGGGCCAAGGGCTGGGCTCAGGGCAAACTATCCTCGGCGGAAAGCCCTTGATTTGATTACTAAGGTCTGGATTAATCTGTGCATCCGATTTCGGAAAAAAACTACAATTTGGCCAACGCCGACTCCTGCCCAAGGTAACGGACTTACTGTACCATTTATATCAAGTAATTAGATCAAATGGAACTCCTCTACTTCCATTTGCCTTTGAAAGTAGGTCCCGAGGTGTGTACTGTCGATCGCGCCCTGTTGGGGTTTCGAGAGTGTCCCCAGGAAGATAAGTAAGGGGGTTGACTTTGAGCGAAGCTAGTATCCTTGGTCACGCACTAGGCGACAGCTGTACTTTTATACATCATACTGCTATTGGTACCCAATGCAGACAAAGTCCTAGAGAAATCCCTATAAACCTATCCATACAACGGGCATCAGGAGGGATGGTTGAAACCGAAAAGTGGCCGACGGTGGTGGGTTATTCTGATCCTCGACCACTATGACACTGAACTTTTGTCAGCGAAAAGACGACAATCTATACCCTTGACATCACTTGTACGATAACATGACAATATACTGTACCTCGCACCTCAAATGTGGGAGTAGGAGTCAAGTCATCGGAATTGTTGAGCGACAAGGCCTCCTCTATGATGGCCATGCATACCTTTGGCGTGGAATTAAACCAATGCACGAGAAGAATTCTTGAGGGTAAATATCTTATCACCTGGTCAGACTTTGCGGACCAAAAATCGGGTTTCCGCTCCTAGTCCCATTCTAGGTTCTTCTATTTCTATTTGTCTCTCTAAAATCCACTAAACCGTGCACTTGATATTCCATCTAGGATAGGACATGCGATTATTGATGGTTTGTATCGCCTATAGGACGCCCTTGAAGAAATCGTTCGCATCAAGTTCAAATATCCAGGATTTGATTACGAACTTTACGTCAAGCACACGTTGGAGAACGGCGACTACCCTCAGGAGAAGGGAGCTTGCATTCGTAACGCCCAATGTGTCACAATTACAGCATTTTATGCTAATTGACCGCTTCATACCTGGTTGGAAAACGATAACTGCGTCTGTACCGCTCGATCGGACTGAGAACCTTGTTTATGAATGTTTCCATGCTCGGCGGTAACAATAGTAATATCCAACATTCAAAAGTCACTCCGCTCTCGAGCTTCTCATTATTTTCCTATGGCGTTCCTTATGGTTGGCCCAGATAACTGGTAAGCCGTTGTAGTGGTTCGGAGAAGGGACATATATACTCACTGTTTGTTTTCAGTTGAACATCTTTAGTGCCACGTTTGGGCCCTGTAGAAGCCTCCTGCATCGCCATCTCTGTTGAGTTAGGCTCATTGAATACATGGTCCCATCCAGCTACTCTCTACGGTTGCATCCAGCTACTCCCTACGGTACTTATCTCGACGCTCTCCAGAAACCTCTCGAAGCTTACGCAATACAATATAGCACATTCTCAAACCGGTACTCCCTTCTCCGACTTGTGGTATTCATGGACCGCAGCATCCCTATTCCACTTGCATCCCAGCACCTCACTCTTGAACATGGAGACCGTATATCATCTTATATAGATCATATAGCATTTCTCGACCAACCTCTGACTGACATATATGCTTGAGACGGCAATTCAGCACTGCGTTACTGTCTCTCCTGGTTGGTCGCCCTTGTATATAAGGGGACCCCTTGTTCCACTCCATCGTCATCTCTCAAAAGACCGCCCATTACAACCATGAGTAACAGAAACTCGATGTTCTCACGCTTCCTTTCGCCTCCAACTATCGCCTTTGCTGATGACGTGAGCGTACAAAACGACTCGGATTTCGAACCGAATTATCACCACAATGGGCTTGCATTAAAGGCACTCATCGATAAGCTCCTTCAAGAAGGGTAAATTCTGGCTTTCCTCCTGATGCCCCGTGACTCTGTGCTCAGTCAGTCCAACAGGATCTCCTTGAATGTGAATCTGCCACAACTCGTCGTGATTGGATCTCAAAGTTCGGGTAAAAGTAGTTTGTTTGAAGGCATCACCCGGGTAAGCGTCACGATTCTCCTTTCTCATGAGATGTCTTGACTTGTTCCTCTCTTTATAATAAGCTCGGCCTACCACGTAGTAGTGGAACCTGTACTCGGTATGCCTTTCCATAATCTCGATTCTCACTATCTCATTCGTTTTAGGTGCCCCATTTTCTGCAGAGGAACTAAAAGAGGAACCACCTGGCGCTGTAGAATTGGGCTAAAATATGAATTTCAAGTATCGGGAGAAAGATTGCCCCATCCACGACTCGAAACTTTCGGAGAAGATATTTTCGATCCTTATGATGTTCCTGAGAGAATTTCTCGAGCACAGGCTGCTATTCTTCGTCCAGATGTGGATTGGCGAAATTTCTTGGAGTCAGGCCAGTATGAAACGAGCTCGGACTTCTCCTTCAACTCTGTTACGGTCGAAATTGAAGGCCCTGAAGTTGAAGACTTGACATTTGTAGACCTTCCGGGTATGGAATTCGTCGAGCTCATATCGTTTAATGGAGTATGGTACTGAGAATATTTGTTCGTTTTAGGAATTATCGCGGCGGATCCAGAAGGCCAACCGGGCCTGAAGGAAAGAGTGCGCGGCATGGCCCTAGCATATGTTCAAAAGGAAGAAAGTCTTATCCTCCTCGTATATCAATGCGACCGTACGTCGAACATTCCAATGAAGATACTGTGAATAACTAAATGGGAACGATTTAGAGGACGATCTCACTCAAGGTGCCGTCGAACTAGCCAAAGAATGTGACCCTCAAGGAAACCGCACTATTGGTAAGGTAGCTATAATAGCGAAAGGGGCGTCGACTTATTGCTTTAGTGGTTCTAACCAAGCCTGACCTCCCAACATTGCGGAGCACTGCTCAAGTGTTGATGGCACCGTGGAAGCAACGATTTCGAGAGTCAGAGAACTGGTTTGTTGTCAGGCAGCCAGACGGGAACTATATAAATCAGTTCGATCCTAATGCCTGGGGAGTGGCGCGAGAGGAAGAAGAGATCTTTTTCCGGGAGAAATGGCAAGAGGAGTGGAATGACCAGTCACTTCAGAGTCGTTTAGGAACCAAGAATCTCCGAAACTATTTGGTCCAACGATTACTCCAATGGAACTTGGATCTGTGAGTACCCAGACCTCACCCTCATGATCGATTTTCTCACACTTTGTAGCCTGCCAAATCTATACCAGCACATTTCGTCGCAATTGAGGGAAACAGAGAAAGACCTGCGCAGTCTTCCATCGCCGAGGAAGGATCCAGTCAGGGATATGGACCATCTATTGGACAGTTTCGATCGTGTAATCGACAAGGCTATTGATATCGATAAGTTCAAGAACCCGTCGCTTCTTAAGAAGTGCCGTTCACGCTTGGATACATTCGTCGAGACACATGTCTATCATCTCTACCCCCGACTTGTCCGTTCGACCGTGATGGGCAACAGCACCAAAGC